GTCATTAGATTGAACCACAGCAGCTAGATATAGCTTATAGGTATTGTTCATCTCCCTGCCAAAGCAGGATAGGACTTTTTTTTCCCTTTTTTGCAGCTGTGGTGATTTTTGAAGTGTTCCTGTCTGAGGGGCACAGCAGGGGACTTGTCTGCTGCTGAAACACTCCATTAGAAAATAAAACAACAAAATGAGACCCTGGAGTATAAGGAGTATACACTAAACCATAAGATCTCATTTGAAATCAAATATGGATAAAGTAGTAACTACTTTTGGGTAGTCTAGCCTAATACATTCCCATTGAACACTAGCCCACCAAAATATTGTCTCAACTACACTTGTATAACCAGTAGGTGGCACTTGGTTAAGGGCCAAATTTTCATAAGATCTGTATGGAATGCATTAATGTGCTATTTTGCTGTTGTAAGCATCTGTGATGAAAGAAATGATAAGAATAAGTATATCTATAATTAATATCTGCTGTTACCGGTTCTATAGTTCATAACGCTGTTACCAGACTTTCCATCAGTCTCAAAGAAATACAGGATAAATATTTGCCAAACTTATTTTTCTTGCACTGTAATCTGTGTTTGTGAGAGATGAATACCAGGAATCTTATCTGACTTCATGTGCTTTATGATGGGGGGATACTGTAGTAAGCCTCTCCACAGAAAACAGCTGGTTGAAATGCATATTCATCTCCTGACCTTTCCATCTGCTGTGCATGCTATGTCTTTTATAAATATCAAATCTAATGAAACCTGCTCTGCCAATTTGAAAATACTTATGTGGGAATAATGAATACCCACCTTATTGTTATGTTTACCATAATAAATTAATTGTCTGAAATGGCTGTTAGATTTTTACATTTTCTTCTTAGCTTGGTCTCAGAAGGAGTCAAACATTGAGTGATTAGTGATGTCTTTATGTTTTGGGTTGTAATGTTTTATTTGCCATACAAATGATCCAGTAATACTGATGATCACCACGTGAAAGTTCACTTACAGACTTTTACTAATTAAAAGATGGGTGGCAGGATTTGGCCTTACATCAGTTCACTTGATAGTATGTATCAGAACATTAGAGACAGACTTACCTATGAATAAGCCAAATCTGTCTGTAATTCCATCGAAAGCAAGTCTAGGGTTTAAATTTGCCTAATAAATAATCTGAAAGTTAAGACCTGTCTTTAGTTTAAGAATAGCTAATGTTCTTTCCAGGTGTGTGGACTGGTTTCTTATTCAGTTTCAAGGTAACACTCCTGCTGTTTTCTGGTATGAAGTTTACACTTCTTAAGTTAGGAAACAATTTGCATTGAAAATAGAACTTGCCAGAAATATAACAAAAGAAAAATCAAGATATTTCTTGACCAAGGAATCTCATTGTTTTGTTTGAAATTTAAAATGACATTTTGTTTTGACCTTTTCAGAACTTTTGAGGATCCTTGGGCTGCTCAGGAGTATGGGAATTATGGAGCTGGAAACATTTGATGGATTTTTTTTCTGTTTTGGGAAAAATATTTTTCAAGTAGAATTTTTTTATTTTTACAGAAAACAAACTTCTTATTGGAAAATCAGCATGAGGATAAAAGTTCCTAGGCAACTCTAGTTGAAAAGAATACATGACTGACATGGCAGAACTTCAAATAATTTGAGATGAAGGCTTGTGGATCTAGTTCTGGTCTTTCCACTCTTACTAGAATTAAATTTCAGCATGAAGGATAGTGTAAAAAAAGAATGTGTGTGTGTGTGTGTGTGTGTGTGAGCATGCGTGCCCCCCCCACAAGCTTCAGTTGAATTACTTTTAATATTTTGAGGGGTATTATCATTTCATATATTGCATATGTACAGTTGCACATGTATCTTATATATATGAGATTCACTTGCATTAAAAAAGCATTGTTGAAGTTGCAAAATCAAGCTCTCCAAAGTTAAAAATTGTCAGAATGAAAAATTGCAGAATGCACATGCAACCTAAATCAGTTTCCTTTAAGCATATGCATTGTGACAGTCTAGTATCACCTGTTTTCACCATCTTTTCCCAATCCTGTCTCCTCCTGCCCCTCCAACATGTCCTGATTTCTACTCTTTAACCTGCTAATCTCAGCCCAGTTTTCCTACTTTCCCAGCCAGTCTCAGGACCGCTCCATCTCCTAGGTCCTTTTATATTTCTCTCCCTCTCCATTTAATGCCTCTCCACTGGCTTTGAATTTCAGTTACTGAAGTCCTTGTTTAACCTCACTTATTCTACTCTAAGCCTCAGTTTTCTCTTCCAGTCTCTGTCACGACAATCCCAGCTTTTCAGTCTTTTTATCTGATCTGTCTTGTTCTGTTCCATCTGGCCACTAGTCTGCCTTTCCTTGGCTCCTTCTCAAGTCTGCTCTCTCTACCCCATTTCCCACTTCCTTACCCAGTTCCTGTTCTAAACAATTTTGAGTAGGTAGTATGACTGTCCTCAACAGTGCCATTTTCTCCTTTCCCTTCACCAAACTCTTTCCTCACTCCAGGTTTCTTTTTCCAATCTCCTAATCACCCTCCAGTCTGGGTCTTGTGCCTCTGCATTCAGATCTGGATTACTTCCTCTTTTGTGGAGAGCACCAAGAGTGCAGAAGAGATGGGAATCCCTGGGTTCCGGTGCAGAACCTGGCCTGCAGCATCCCAGTCAAGCAACTGCAGAGCAAGCATTGGTCAGCCGTGCATTAAAAAGTGCTTAGTGCATATGAAATTGGCAGGGAATGCAGCCGCAAAGCTCTTGCAGGTGTCAACTGAGCATATGCAACATGTTTAACATGATCATAGTCATTTGAATTCAATGGACATGGCAAAAGGTGTATTTCTGGCAAAAAGATGGGGTGTCTCCTTCCAAGCTAGGGTGCTAGAACTACTCAAAGAAAATCACCAGAATCTTTAATGGAAAAAAATATTTTTTTCCCTGATCTTTCCCAGCAAATGGCTGAACCATTTTAGCTGAAAATTCCTAATATAACTCATCCTGAGACAGACACCTGACAGTCAACCCAAACTCTAACTCTGCCAAACTTTAAGGTTTTTTCTTCCAAAGCTTAAAAGATGTGATGAAATAACCTGTAATTGACAGCTCCAGAAGCTGAAGCTGTCTTGAGTTATTTTAATGAAATCTTAGTATTGTTAATCTTTTGTTCAGTACTAGTAATGAAAAGATTTAAATCCCCAGAAAGGATAAACCTTCCATAAGTATTAAACATTCTTCATCCTGTTTTCTTCTGACTTGAGAGGTAGGGGAGGAGAAAAAATGAGAATGGAGTATGTTACAAAAAGCATTATTGTAATTCATTATTGTAAAATATGACTGTGGTGGACTTCATATTGGTAAAGCATAGGGGCTGCGCTGAATCCCTTTTTCAGCATTTCTGGTAATGGAAAGTAGAAATTGAAGTTATAGGAATGGTCTTTAGTCAGCACTATAAACTTAGGGAATAAATGATAAATAAATAATTTTCTTTAGCATCATATGTGACAAAAATGAGAACATCAAGTTTCTGTAGAGTTTCTAAAATGTAAAGAGTTTGAATCCCAATTTAAACTTCAAACTTTAAACTTTGTTGGAAATAAGTTTGGGTATAGTAAATACAAGAGTTCAAAAAGCAAATGATCTTTAAAAGGCAGAGTTGTGCAGCCTATATTGGATGACTGAAGTTGCTACGTCACTTATCAGCATGCATCCATTTTAAAAGTAGGAAAATAAGATCTAGGATAATGGAAATGGATCGTATGACAATTTAGTTGCACTTTTGGAACTAACAGGACCTAATCTTGCTGCTACTGATGTCAACTGGTGTTTGCCATTAACTTTACTGGGAGCAAGTTCAGACTGTTCAGGACTGCACAGACCAGCCAAAAATTGTCAGCTCACCAAAATCATGTATGCTTTCCCTACATGCTTGATATTGGTAGCAGATTGTGTATACTTCTGTACCATTGCTTATGGTGGAAACTATTATTGCTCATCCTGTGAAATTCCAGAGGAATTTCCACAGGTTCAAATGGAAAAATCACTAGGAGTAATTTTGCTTGCCCAAAATTATTCATATGCACACAGGCTGCTTTGGACCAGTGCTTTTAAGGAGAATCACTTTTTTAAGAAATGCATGGTACAGAGTATTTTGACAGGTAGCATTAAAGCTGCTGTCTCCTCGAGCGTCTCTAGTCTCAAGACAGAAAATATAATAACTAATTGGTTACTTGATCAATTACCCCAAAAGATCAAGTAAAAATGTGTATCATGCTTCTTAAAATATTTCAAATTACTGATGGCTGAAATATTCAATATTGATTATCATGGTATCTTTTTTTCAATGATAAATATTTCTTTCAGCAGCCAAAATACTTTCAGATAACTTTCACTATTTGTTTTTGTTTTTTAATTTTCCCTCAGAAGAGTGGAGGTGGGTGGGGTTGGCGTGGAGGAATTTGATTTGCTCAGTCCTCACCTGTGTAGCTACTCTGGGTCAGACAAGGGGAAGCAGCTGGCCCTCTCCTGCCCCAGCACCCCATAGATGGCCTTCTCTTGAGCTGGGCCCTGGTGAGGAGAGATTCCATGTTCCTTTCTGTCTCCCCAGTGCTTGTTCTCTTGTGGTGCTCATTGCTGTGACAGTCCCTTTCCCCAAAGATCATGACTCATCATTACAAAGCAGCAGAGACAGGAAAAGAAAATATTTCCCTCAAGCCAACCAACAGGGAACTTAAAATGAAGACCTAGCACCTCCAGCAGGATGCACCCAGCCAGGCTGTATCCCAATTGTGAAGTCTCTGAGGTTATGAAGTAGAGGAACTGCATATGGATGACCAGGGCTGAGAAGCCCTGTTTGGGGATGGACTCATTCCTATTTTGTAGTCTTCCTTCAACATGTATCATGAGTGGCTGGAACTCTTCTTGAAATGCCCAAATGTCTCCACCGTCATCAGGAAGGGCCAGGGAAGCACTGCAGACCTAAGCTTCCTTGACCAGCACCTCCCTTTTGTTTTTTTTTAAGAAAAGTAACCGTCCTTAAAATGCTGTTCAGTCTGATTAGTTCTAAGGACCACAGGGCTCGGTCACTACCCTGGCCCGGCCGATGTGGAACCAATATGTAGCTGGCTCAGGATGGGGCTGACTACATCCCCTTAGGTTCCCAGAGAATAGGCTGGGAACCTAGGAGAAGGCTCGCCAGATAAAAGTCCCAACCATAGTGACTTCATAGGGAAAAAATGGGGTGGGTGTAGGAGATGCAGAAGGTTCACACGGACCAAAGTTGCCCTGAATATCCTGTTCTGTGGAATGCCTCATGTTATTGATCCTGTTACACCACTAATTGGCTGCTGAATCTCTGCACTGAGACTTTAACAATGCTTTCTGGAAAGCTGCTCCTACCTCCCAGTTGCTCTGTCTTCAAGACCATGCCTCAAATCTCCCTTCCTTGACTCCATGACCTTGCTCCTTCTTTCATCTTCCTGGAGATGTGGCTGTTCTGGGGTGAAGGAAAATTACATTTGTTTGGTGGGCTTCTATCCCTGCTTGCCAGTAACATTGACCTCCCACCCCTTCTTGACTACTGGTGACTTGGTTGTCACTGGGACTGAGCTTGGTCCTCTGGAAAACCTGCTCTTAGAGGGATGTTTTCTAAATGCTAAAACACTGACACTTCTGAATTAGATTGCGAGGTGGGAATAGTCACAGATGAAGCTTGCCCCTGGGGCCCATCTGCTTCCTATCTCTTCACCACTGGGAACTGATGGTCCCAGCATGGGAGGGAACAAACCTGGAACTCTCTTAGGAGTTCTCAAGAGCTTCTTTCATGTGCATGGTGTCAGCCCTGCTGAACCAAGCACCTCAGTCAACCTGCTGGCCTGTAAATTGCTCTGAGGAAAGTAGTTTCAACTGGTGGGTCTGTCACAGTGTGTGGGCTGGAAACAGCTGTCAAAAGTATTCTGGATTGCCCAGAAGACAATGCTTACTGATACTCAGTAGCTAAAAGTTCCAGTCTCTACTTCTGACACACACTAAAATTCTTTCTTGCAGTCTCTTTTCTTTGGGTTGCCCTAGTTTGTAAGCCTCTCTTACTATCCCGAGTTAACCTAACAAGCATGATTCCTAGGTATTTATAGCTTTGTAGCACTCAGCTGGTCCTTCCTTGCTAAATGGAGCCATTTACAGACTGACTCAGTGATACACATCTATACTTGTTGATCCTGGATTGGCTTTGTCAGCCATCTTTGGACCCATAGATAAGGCAAACATGGAAGACAATCATCCTTGACTGTCAGGATTGCTGCTCCTGATGAGCCTGAGAGAACTCAACTTGGCTTGCAAGGAGCCTGAGTTCCTTCACAAACCCTTCCACTGACTTATTCTAGCTGCCACATCCCAAAGACGTAATATTGGAGTTTTTCATAAATTTATGTAACATGGAATATATCTGTATGTTTTAAAAGATACTCCACAGAGCAAGAAAAGAGGATCAAGCAGAAAGGAGGGCAAAATCCCCAACATATCCAGTCTCCTTTTCAGACAGAACATTTCATTCTCTCCAAAACCAACTTTATTCTATTACCACCACCCATTTAATAAATATTTTTAGTCATCTAAAACACAAAGCTCCCAAGACCCCACAGAAAGACAGATCTCATGTTTAAAATATATGTCCTCTTATGGCTCACAGTTGCCTGTGTGCTGGGGGGCTCTGAAGTTGCACAACAAATCCCACTGTTTACCTTTACAATATCACCTCAGCCTTAAAAACAGTACCTTCTTGACAGAAGATCTAAAGACTCAACCAATGAAGTAAAGCACCAAGAGGCTGCTCCATTTGCCGAGAGGCCAGGCTACCCTAAGACAGCTTGGACTGGTTGGCTATCCTTCTCTAGATAGGAGTAGGTAGTGAGAGCCTGTCAGAAAGGGGTTTTCTGTAGGTAGTGGCTTTTTCCTGTCAATGTAAAGCAGGGTCAGAAAACCAGTAGTTTCCTTCAGGGAATCTCCAACAGATTTAGCAGGTGTCTTTTCATATGGCTTTGAGCCCCTCCAGTTGAAAGGTACAGTGAAGAACTTACTCAAGGCGAGTTTCAGGGTCATCTTATGATTAATTCATTGCAACTCTCATTTTTCATGAGCTTTCTGTCTAGAAATTCTTGTTAGGCCTAAGTGCATGAACTTTCACTTCACAGTATTATATCTAATATATCTATTACTTGACTCCTCTGTCATGCAGTCTGTCTACCTTCCCTCAGTATCTCCTGTTCAGTGTTCACTGACAAGAGGAGCCAAGTACAACATTCAGACCTTCCTCCACTTCTGCTATTTTCTCTCCTCAAGCACTTCCTGAAAGTAAAGTTCTCTAAATTCTTATACACAATCATACTAGACTATGAGAGGACTAGAAACTATACAAGAATGCTTAACTTTTTTGGCAACAAAATCATTTCCCTCTTTGGGAGGTTTGTTCTTCCATGTTTTAATGTTGTACAGTCTTATGTTTACCCTGAAGGACATTTGACACAGAAGCAAGTGCAAACCCTTCTTGCAGTAAAAGGAAACTGTCTGACTGGTGAAGTGGTGTTTTAAGAGTGTTCTGACATCATTCAGTCACTCAGTAGCCTGTGTCCAGCTGATCAAGTCTCAGCTGCATATTGCACTATACCTGTGTCCTTGTTCTGGATTCATAGTGTGCAAATGTATTTGCGGTTTTGGTAAAGTATCTGCTGTATCTGGCGAGTACCTTGCTCCTATAGTATGTCAACAGAGACTAAGAATGATAGAAAACGAGGGGTGGAAGGGACGAGGTCACCTCGTCCAACCCCCTACTCAAAGCAGGACCATTCCCACCTATATCATGCCAGCCAAGGCTTTGTCTCGCTGGGTCTTAAAAACCTCCAAGGATGGAGAGTCCACAGTCTCTCTGGGTAACCTGTTCCAGTGCTTTACTACCCTCCTTGTGAGAGCTTTCCTAATATATAACTATCCTAAACTTCCCTTGTTCTGTCATCTGCCACCACTGAGAACAGTAGCTGTTCTGACTTACCTGCTCAGCCCATGAAGCTTCTTTCCAAGTGCAGGATATGTCCCCAGGAAATAGTCTGATGCTAAGTCTCCTAGTTGTTCGGGGGGGGATCCTTCAGCTTGATGGTTGTAATAGGTTTTTTGGCCTTTGCATGTCTCTTCCTTTTTTGATGTTACTCCATCCACAATGCCTGGTGTAGCATGGCTGTAGGCACCAAGGTATGTGTACATCTTGATAAGATGATATGCTTGATATTAAAGTCCTCTCTGCAGGACTATTACTCAGTTTGTGCATGTCTTAATATTTCTTTGTTTTTGCAGTATTCTTTGGTTTGTACAGTGTGTTTCGACTGCAGTGTTGTAGCAATATTGTGTAATGACTGAATTCCTACACAGTACAAACTCAGTGCAAGCAAACTGGAATCCACTGCCTGAAATGACAGTGCTTTAGATACCATATTGGCTGAAATTCTTCACTGCTTTGCAGCAAGGCAGTTCTTCAGTGACAAAGGGGTAGAGCATAGGTATATGGGAACAAAATTAATTATTCACTTCTCAGTACAGTAACAAAGACAAAACAGCTATAAAAGGTATAAGGATGTGGAAACTGCCACAATATTAATTGTGGCAAAACAAAAAGTGCTTAATGATCTCAAACCAGAGGGAAGTGGGAACTGGATAAGCTGCTTCCCAGAATTCTGAATGAACTGGCACGTGAAATTGAAGGTTCAGGCATGAGTAATTTGAACAAATCTGTCAATACTGTTGGCTACAGAAATTGGCATGGCTTAACCGTTCTAGCCCACGAAATTGTTCAGGTTTGGCACACGTTTGATACTTTCACTTGGTACTGTGTTTGTAAATTATATTGGCCTTGTAATATCATGATTGTGCTACTTTGTAATTTTAATCTGTCTGTGCTTCATTGCAGTTTTGCATAACAGAGAAAACCTTTGTCACTAGGCATAGTCACTAATGCCCCAGTGTTTACTTGGTACTGTTACCTATTTGTATGCGGTCTTTGCTTCTATTTTACTGTTTGTAATACTATATTTTTGCTGCTTCATGCTGCATTGTCGTACGTGCAAAATCTCAGCCTCTTAATAACTGGGCTACCTAGAGAAGGTGGTGGGCACATGTGTACACACACACGGTTTGACATAATTATTTCCTGTTGCAGCTCTTGCAAAGCATCCATCACCACCTGTGGGTTGTTTGTAAACCACTCTGAGCCTACTGGATAGGGTAGGATATAAATTTAATAAATAAATGCGTGCAGGGTATTATGTATTTTCATGTTTTTCTTTCCTTTTCCAGTTTGTCATTTCTTACTCTGTATTTTGGGCATTTCCCTTTGCATGAGTTTTGATGAGTATTTGCTTGCATTTTCCTAGTTTCCTTGTGCTTCTTAACAAATGATCTTTTTGTCTGCTCCACTTAGATTTTTAACTAGAATGTTCAGAGTGCCCACACTAGGCTCTACCTACAGCTGTAAGCGTGCACAAAGCTAATGAACAAACTAACGTTCAAATGAAAAATGTATCACAGACTAGTTCATCATTTAAGATTTGAAAAATCACATAAGTCAGCCATGCTGATCCCTTACTTCTCCAGATTCCTTAGGCATCTTTTCAACACATGACATTTTTGCTGGTTGAAAGAGTTTCCGGAGTTCTGCTAGGATTCTGTCTGGGGAATCCCAGGTTGTAAAGGCATTACCCATTACAGTTAGTAGGGTAAGATATGTGGGGGGTTTCTTTTATGTTGTATCCAGCCTTACTGTAAATGCATATATTTTTTCTGTGGTAGGCTAAAGAAAGGCCATTTGGTAACCATATCCCCTTTGTGTCGATCTGCTCAGAGACAAAAATCTGGGAATCCTTTGGTTTTCTTTGGAGGATTGGACAGGGAATCCTCTGCAACACTTCCAATTTCAGGTACTTGTAGAAAACAACTAATTTATGAAAGTATGGGTGTGAGAATAAAAAAAAAGCAATGGGAAAATTTCTCATGAAGCTCTAGACTTGGGAGTAATCAGTTCACTCATAACTTGCCTTCCATTTTATAAACTGTTGCATTTCTACCCCTTACACTTTTGGAACAAAATGGGAACCATGACACCAAAAGCCTCCTAGGGCATGTGCACAGGAACATGGGTATTTGTTTCACCAGGGTGCCGTTGCTACTTGTCCCTGGGGAACACCCCTGCCACGTGTGCTCTGGCACACGGCAACTCACCCCGGGTGGGGTAGGGAAGCCTGGACCAGCAACTGTGCTGGCCCAAGCAGCCTTACCTGAGGTCCTGGGGGCATCCCAGGGCTGCAGCCATGGCAGGAAGCCTGGCTAGCAGCTAGAGTGTGGTGTGCTGCTGCCACATGCACTGCCCTGCTTTTTTTGGCATGGTTTTGACCCTGGAATTTCCCACGATCAAACCACCCCCTCTCATGCTGCAAGGCAGGGGCACACCTGTGTGTGTGGTGTGGCACTGCAGAAGGGTCAGCAGTGCCACATACTACATGTCTGCACTCATCTGGATGTGACCCTAGAGTGCAAATGAAAATAACCTGATTTGAAGCCAGCTTTATGGCTTTTTGACTGTTTCAAGGTGGAAAGACTTTCACTGCAGGGAACTGCAAGCTCTGATGGCAGTGTATTGCTGCCTCTTAGTTCAGAATCCTATAGAGGCCCTGATCATAATGTTCCAGCAGCCCAGTATCTGGATCTGGCAGGAATACTCCAAATTATTCTCTGCATCTCATCAGGTGAATTAAGCAGTAGAGATAGGCATATAATTGCACTGTGGTGGTAGAACGGGAGGCAAAGAGGGGGAAGGGAGGCACAGGTTAGCAACACTCCAAGGCTCCTACTACTCAGGTTTTTGAAGGTGCTGGGGAGTAGCTGTTATTCTTCAAGCAGAAAGTGGTCCTTCTGATATGCTTTATGCACTTCTCTCAGATCTGAAGCTCATCATTGTAGCTCCACTTCCTCCTTTGCCAAAAACCCTGTGTTAGAGTCCTGTTCTCCTGGCTCTTCTGCTGCCTTTCTTCCTAATTTACAGGGTGGGATTGAGATGCTGGAATTTATTATATTCTGAGAACAATCTGGCCATATCCTTGCTGCTGCTTTTAACTGTAAACATAGACTTCCCCCACTATGGAGCTATATGTAAAATAAGTATCTGATTTGACTAAATACAACAGGTTGTCAAGCTAAGAGCAAAACATCTACATGCTTTCTGGCAGCCCAAGAATGGCAGAGGTTGAACCTCTTTTGCCAGAAAACTCATTTTCAAGGAAGTGGGGAGACCAATCCCCAAATCCTAATTTACTTAAAATTGGTAACGCGAGCACGTAACTGTGAAACATGATGAGAAAAGCCAAGTTATCCATTCACAATAAGAGGCTTACTACCCTAGTCTTCAAATGCTGAACAACAGAAAAACAGTTAACGGATGTTTCTGAAATATCTACTACCCTTGGGCTGGCACTACTGTGACCTCCCCTCTCCATTAGAGTACTATTGGAGCAAATAGCCACTGTTTGAGAGACAGAAGTGTGGGGTTTTGCTCCTCCTTTCAAAGTGCTTCTGTACTTCCTTAAGTGACTCATGCAAAAGTCACACAGGAGAGTGTGAAAGAAAAAAGCTTTGAGTCCTTGTTTAATACCCTAATAACTGGACAACCCCAGCAATATCTATGGAAGCGTTTTGTTTTCCATATTCATGGAAAAAGTCATGCAAACCAGTGACTGATATGTTAGTATACAAAAGCAGGATGCAGAGAAAAATCATTATCTGTAACAGTGTTGTTCGATTCTGTCCATGGGAGTAATAACTCATATAAAAACCTATCTGGACAGAAATAGTATGTTCAGTTTTGAAGTGCAGTTTATTTATAAGAACTGTAAGAAACAGCAAGAGTTTGCTCTTAATCACTCTAAGAGGACTACGTTTTTGCTGAATTGTTACTTCTTGTATCATTTTGCTCAAGATATTCAAAAGATGGGATCACCTGCATATCTTGTCAAGAACTGCGCAAAGAATAGAAATGAAGTTGCACTGCTGAAATAGCCTGTCTGTTGCTGATTTCTCTTCTAGAAATACAGACATTCAAGCCTCACATTTACAATTACTCAAGTGAAGATACCAACATTTAAGAGTTGATGAAGTTCTCTCATTTTTTCAATACCTTGCTAAATACTAAGTATAAGAAAAATGTACCCCCTCACACAGGAGACTAATTCAAGCAAGAGGATGAACTGAATGGATTCTGTAGAACACACAGCTTAAGTCTTTTGTTTTTTAATATACAAAACTTTGATTAACTTAAGAGAACAAGACAACACATAATAAGCTGTTGGTCAAAAACATGTTCCTGGAGCTAGGATCCAAAATAATTTCAGAAGGGCTGACATGGACATCTCTATCTTCATCATGGTTTTATATTCTGTTTGTAAATCAAGACAGGATTTGCAGTCCTATGAAATATTAATGTTTAGATAAAAAAAAATAATTGACCTTCCCATACCAACAGGGACTTGGAAGAGCTGCAGTATATATGAAGAATTCATGACTCATTTACAGTTTCTTCTACTGGAGGCAGTGTGTCCCATAATGATTTCTGAATATGTTCAGGTAGCTTTTCTATTTTGGTCTAAAAACAAGACAAAGAAACATTCTGAGATTTCACTTAGCAGTTTACATTCAATTAGATTATTCCTTTAGAATAATTCAATCTTCTTTGCTGTATTCACATTTATATGAATTAAATTCCAAAATTATCAGGTTCTGGCCAAAGTCATTTTAAGAATAGCACACCCTCAACCCCCTGGTGCCAAGATGTTCTCCACTATCTGGTTCCTTCACCTCCTAGTCCTCTCTCCCCAACAGAGAAACTCTGCAGTGAAGTTCCATAGACTTAAAAAAACCGAAAATAAACCACATTACCTTTTTTACTTCCATGGCAACCCCTTCAGGTAAGTTTCGTTGGATGTATTCCAAGTAAACATTAGCTGTACTGCCAGTTAAGTGTTTTAGCTAAAAGAAAAGTGTGTTAATTACTTACTACTAATTACATTATTTTATCCATACAACTGTATACTCCAGTGGGAAGATCTACAAAGTGTTAGAAAAGCTACAGCAGCATAGTGGAGGGTTCATTTCTTCCATCATCTCAAAGATTTTTTATTTGTTCTGTACTCCCAAACATCTTTACTGCATTAATGCCTAGGGCCTAACTCTGTTAGGGTCCTACTGTGATGGCCCTATAAAAATGTATAGTAAATGGCAGTCCCTGACCCTGGAAGAACACAGAATGCCAACGGTGGCCCTTTTGTTAATTACTTGTATTTTCCAAGAAGTCAGTAATTCATATAGTGAAAGAGATGCACTACAGAAATATGTGCAGTGACAATGACTTTCAAACTGCATCCTAACAGGTGCGTGAAGTACAGGAAACTTTGCCATTCATTGGGGCATATGTTCTACGGATCCCTGTGAACAGGGAAATCCGCAAATACATTCATGAATGGCCGCAGGAACCCGGTGGTGGCAAGCATGGAGCTCCCACAGGCACTGCTGGCACTGTGGGGGAGCATGTCACGAGTGTGCTGCGAGACAGCGTGCATGGGGAGAGAGCATGGGTTGGAATATTTGCACCGCAAATATTCAAAACTATGAATCGTGAATGGCAAGGGTTTCTTGTGTAACACTGCCCAGCCAACAGTAGTTTGCAATAAGTAGGGACCTACTGAATTTGCAGTGGAAGTGGGCTGTGCAGCAGCTTCTTTAATCTTGCAGGTTCCCCC